CTTTGTTCCTTGATCTACATGATGCTGCTCGTTTCCTACTGTTTTCTGATAAGTCTTCACTCAATAAACTGTTGTATTTTATTCCTAAAGGAAATTAACTGTTATGAAAAATTTTGCTCAGTACTTTTGAGAGATACATGCAGAAATTAAGCTAAAACAGCAGAAATTCAGCAACTGCTGTCTTATAGTCCATCTCTGCACTCAAGTTCACAAATGCACACATTAATGCACAAATGAACATAGGGGCACACGTGCATCTATATGCCCTCATACACACACCCTCTCCATCTGTCTGTTTTCCCCCCCACTGCCTTTGCAACGGCTCTATCTGCAAAGCAATGTGTTAGGCTTCAAGGAGCATGCATGCATTCAACACCTATTTTATCTTTGATGTGTTTGTTTCCTGCACTTAAACCTTTCAAAATATAAACAGACTGTTAAATGAAGTCCACATGTGTGCACCAACCAAGGCAAAATTAAATCTACAAGGAAGTTTAATAAAGAGGAATTCTGCCCCTATATGAACCATTCAAAAGGGAATGTCGCCCTCTGCTGGCCTTTTATGTGTATTACATAGAACAGGGGGAAACTGCTGAGGTGAAATCAAAGCTACAGTTTGTGATAATGAAGGGATTTACTGACAGAAATGTAATACACAATAATATAATTTATCATCATCTACGAACTGAAAGTCTCAATCTTAATGTTTGCATTGCCTTGGAAAGTGCTATTTATAATTACATAGGAGGGGGTTGCGCATTTATGGAGGCAAACATCTTTGCGCTTCACAGAGAGTATACAAAACAAAATTTTGTTCAGTACGGCTCTTAAGACATTTCCATTCCTTAAACGACAGAGAAACCAGAGTGTGCTGCTGTATGTTCATACAGCACCAAGTTAGGTAAAAAAATCTATATCCGAATAAACTGCTATTTGCAAAATTCTCTATGTAAACTAGGCTTACACTGGCCACGACTGCCAACTGGCTGGGCATTATGAAGATGAACAATCTCAAGTGTTGCGTTTTTGATTATTATTATTATTTTTTTCTTCTGTGCAGACCTGCAACTTTCTCCAGCACTTGTTCCATGTTTATTTTGGTCAGAGTAGCCAAAACAGGGGGAAGAATCACCCAGACAACAGTTGTAAGGTGAGATGCGTTCCTGAGCTCAGGCAGGAGCAGCAGGGAATCAGTGTTGGAACAGTGGCTGAGAGAGCTCCAGAACCAGGATGAGGCCCCCAGCCATGCACCCCTCAGGAGCCTAGGGGCCACAGCTTGCTTAGGAATAGAGCTTAGAAGCATATTGGTAGATCGGAGAAGCCTCCCAGGCAAACAAAGCTCTTAACGCCCAGGAAAGGCTACGGCTGGTCTGGGCAAGCTATTGGGGCTAACTGGAGGTAGGATGATAAACTGTCCTTCTAGGGCTAAAATAAAACAACTTTTTAAAAAGCCACTTACTAAACCTCTTATGAGCATTCCTTGCTTTATACTTTGTCAATATAATTTTTTCTATCTTCCTTTTGGATTACAGTGGTCAGAACAAGATACTTTCTAAACTCTAAGTTTTCATACTTAATAATACAATTTCATTGTAAATAGACACCGGCATTAAAGAATTTATTGATTTGATGGTGTGATCTAATGTATATATATATGTATAAACAGACATCAGACAAGATAGGTAAAGTGGAGGCAGAAGCATGACTGCCTCCAGCGGGTGGGGGATTCATGTTGCTGCACACTGACCACTAGATGTCACTGAAACACTTAAACACTGTCGCTTTAAATGTTTTTATCAATGGATAACGTTATATTATATTGTTCAGCATTATATTATATTTTATGAACTATGAATGGATGACTGAAGGAAAGGTTTAAAACAACACACTCTATTAATCATTGCATTTGATTGTTTTCTAAATAAAGAGCCAAACCCATCGACACAAGCAATTGTTTTATTTGAAAAAATGAATTACTATGTACAGTACAAAAGAAACATGAGATCAGTCCTGAATCATTTCCTGACTTTTTTTTTTTTTGCTTACTTCATACAAATAAAAGCACTTCACATTATCATTAATGTTTTTAATGAAACCTAAGCCAGTAGGTATCCTCTTGGTCACAAAACAAGCAAGATCTGCGTCATTTCTCCATGCCTCTGTGTAATGTCTTTATACCTTTTTTTGCTGACTAAAGTGGCTCCAAGTCTGATCGGTACAGCTGATTCCAGAATAGATCACGGATCCAACATCAACTGAAAGATTTTAAATAAACTGAACCTTTCCAAGAAATTGCTATCTATTATGTCCTCCATCAACTGTTCTGAAGACCACAAAAGAAAAAAAAAACTATGGTTCCTTAAATAACTTAAGGGTTCCTGGCAAAAATGATTGCATAGTTCTGAGAGGTGGCTCCAGCCCTCTCAGACTAGATTACAGCAAAAAATAAAAAAATAAATGAGCCTGAAGTTTTAACCAATCTTTAAAGTAAAACAGGTGTTGTTACAATTATTTGAGCGCTATTGCTGATTAATTAAGTGAAAAACATTATTCGAACTGAACATTAATTGAATGCAACATACTATTGCATGTCAGCACAGATGAATATCATGGAAATATCAATTTATTTCTGTAATTCACAGATAAACATACTTTATTTTCATTTTAATGATATGGTTCAGTGAAAAGTAAAAACCCAGATTTAAATCTTTGGAAAATAAGAATATTTCATGGCATCAATACAAATGAAAAACCATCCCTGACAGTAAACAATTTTTAACTGGAACAAAGTCATTTTGATTTTGTTGCTCTCCTTTATGCCTACGGTGAACCAAACAAAAATATTTTCATTTTTCTTGTTACCCCATGTAAAATGCGTTTGGAGTTTTCTTTGGATAACAAGTGGCTTAACATAAGGGAAGAGAGAGATAGAGCTCTATCACTGTCAGGTTGTTCTTTTCCTCCATTGTCTACATATGTATTTCACAATTAATTGAGAGGTTCTGATATTGTTGAAGTCTGTTCGCAAATATGCTTCTGATCTACGTGCAGGAGGGGGTCGACACAGAGCTCAGTGGTGTGTGTGAAGTTTCTCCTTTAGGAAAAGGTACCGCACATCTTCGCAGGATGAATGATGTGAGCTGTGTTCAGCAAACATGGCTGCATAATCTGAAGATGCGTGTTGGAAAAGTATGGGCGCTTTGTGGATGTATGTTTATTGACAAACATAGATCTGAAGAGGTTTACTGAGTTTATTCAACCTTTAGAGCAGGGATCCCCAAAGTCGGTCCTGGAGTGTCCTGCAGGTTTTAGAGGTTTCTCTGCTTGGGCAGAGCTGATTCTGATGATTGCATTTCAGCAGAAGCTTGTTAATCAACTATTGATGTAAATCAGCTGAGGTGGAGCAGGGAAACCTCTAAAACCTGCAGGACAGCGGCCCTCCAGGACCGACTTTGAGGATGCCTGCTTTAGAGAATAACTAAACCAGGGCTCAATATTTTTTTGTTGACAAATTATATTAATTAGGCCTTAAATTTGCTATTGTTATGTTACTCTGAAAATCTTCAGAATTTAGAGAAATCCTTTTTAATTTTGCAATATTTGCCCAAAAATCGACTTAGTGCTTTATGACTAAAAATCTGGGCGATAGTCTCTTGCTTTGAAGACTTTGGGGGTATTTTTCCACATTTGTCTGGGGTGGAGATGTTTAACATCAGTTTTAGTTACATTTTAAATGGGCTGCAAATATCCCCTCTGCTTGACAATTATCCTTCTGCTAGATTTCCCTTTGTCTTACTTGGATGCAGCACTCTGCAAACAGTTTGCTAATGATAAATCTACTAAATTCATACAGTGCCTTTCTAGTCAAACTGACCACTCTAAGAGCTTTACAATTCAAAAATGTGAGCCCTCCATACACAAATATGAAGATTTGTAGAGAACAGGGGGTTGAATTCCTTGCCCATATTCACAATGAAATGTGGCAGGAGGAAGCTGGACCCTTTCCCACAAGTTTTTAGTTGTATGATGATTTTCCACTGATCAACCAGTAAAATTTTGTTTGTCACGTCTGGTAGAGCCACTGCAATTAATCTTTTTAGTAAACACGTTTTACTTTTTGAACTGGATTACAGAAACAAATTAACTTTTCAATGGTATTCTGATTTATCGAGATGGACGTGTACTTTCCCTGACTCTCATTAGAATCTCTCCACATAAAGAGCACATTATCACAGACTCCTTTTTTATGCTTCATATGTCTGACACACAGTTGCCATTAAGCAAAATTTGTCTTGGTGAAAGATTCAGTCACATGCATTAACCAATTGTGCAAGCTTTGAAAAAATGAAACATGTTCAAAAATGTTCCCATACTATGTGAAACCTTTCATTAACGAAATTTAAAATGCACATATTCCACATTGAGTCGTCTTTGCGATAATGCTTCAAGCTAATTTTCGCATACAGGACCTATGAAATGAAATGTCTTAGCCAGCCAGAAGAGGGGGAAGGTCACTTTATCCTCACTGAGCTCTCACATTCAAGTTGTTGCATTAAATCAGCATTTATTAATGCATGCCTGGTACATTTTTAATGGGATTTAATGGGGTTGCTTGATCCATATTAAATGATTTTATTTGCAGGGTTCCCTTGTGATCAGCACTCTTATGAACATCATGAAGAAATATCCACAGTTTTTTGATACTCGTAAAAAAAAAAAAAAAAAAATGAATTAAAAAACAGACAAAAAAATGGAGGAGTACACCTCATGATGCAGGCATACTCACACAGATTGAACATCTCATGAGCTAGGTGGAATATGGTCATCCCAGCTATGTGGTGACAGATGTGTGTTGATGTTATACTGGATCGAAGCCATACTTTGGAGCTTCATTTGGCCCTCAGAGTCGATGGTACACATGTTCCCATCGAAGAGCTTTTCCCTTGGATTTAAATATTTTAGCAGGTAAGTCCACAGGGAAGAACATAGGATTTTTTTTTCCTGTTCCACAGTGAGTGCAACACATGTCCAACAACAGGAAATGTTCTCGTGCGCTTATAGCTGCCTCCTCAATCACTCCCTCCTTGTCCACATCAGCGTCATCATCTCCATCCCAGTTTTCAGCACTAAACAAAACCACACCACTGTGAGTGGTAAGTGCAACAAGAGTGTTTTGGCGATCGGAAGATACAGGGCAGATGCTATAGCTCGCTGTGGCGCACAGGAGGCTCTAGTTTGTGAGACAAAGCTGTGAGAACTTTGTCAAACTTCTCGTAGCGCTCTGATTGGCTGCCCTCAGAGCCGCGGCTACCCCATAGTAGACGCATCTGAAACTCCGTCTGGAAGACCTCTCGTATCTCAGGTTGCTCCTGGAATCCTGAAGAGGAGAGGAGAGAAGGGTTATTCCGTGAGGACTGTATCCGCAATTATGGGAACTAAAGAGAAACAGAGCTTAAAGGGATGTGACTAAATGTTCTCTAAAATCAAGAAGTGGTAAATAAGAATTTGAGGAAAAGGATAATGATTAGAAGCACAACAGGTGAATCTATGCAGCTTTTGGTGATGGCATTCTGGGGAAAACACCAGCAAAACCTGAATAATGAAAAGGTTACATTGGTGATAAAGATCAATCATCTTTACAAAACAGAGGGAACTTGATCAATACATCAAATTCCTTTTGGGCATAATTTTGATAAAAATCTTACAAAAACAAAAACTGTGATATTTTGGCAAAATTAGCAAAGAAACTGTAGTGATGTGAAAGTAGTGTTCATCTTTTAATGTTTCAGAAACACATTTTAACACTAAAGATAAACAAAGATAGACAACAAAAGGTAGGCCAAATCTATTTTTTCTGGAGTTATTTTTCTTTGTTACTTGTTTAAACAGCACAGTGCATGTTCATACTTGTAATTACAGGTAGTTGTATATCTACATAAAAAATTCTGCACATATTTAGCGGGATGTGTTCCCAAACAGGCATCTTTTTTCCCTTTTTGTGCATATTCTCTTACATATGCTAATTAAACATTAAAACACCTGTAGCTTTTAGTCAGGTGCGGCTAATGTATGAACAAAACAGGATTTTCCCCTAATTTTAGCTTGTGAATGTAGTATTCAGGTGCATGTTGTAGTCCAGAAAATACTGTAATTTATCATCATCCAGAATTAAGAACTTTTATACCACAATGCCATTAGTCTATTTCTATGCAACCTTCAAATTTAGAAAGACAGAAACACTTAGAGCTTGTATGTGGCTAGGATGTTCTGATCTTCATGAGTGAGGAAACATGAAGGAAAGGAGCTACTTTACTAAATTAGATTTTCTGTACTATCCCAGTAAAGATAAAAAAAAAAAAGTATTGAAAAACAAAGCAAACAAATGTTTTCTGAAACTATAAAATGTTTAAAAGTAAACCTGTTGGTGGCACACTCATCAATAAAGGGGCCTGCTAAGCTCAGGCTGATTGACTGACGGCAGCAATAGAAATCAGAAGTGTTAGGTGAAAAGATCAATACATTAGATCAGAGGTGCTGTGAAACAAACTGTTTGCATTAAAAGTTCAGAAAAGAATCTCACCCTGCAGTTTGCTCTCAGCTGTATTTTTGTAGATCTCCCCGTGATGTGCAATGGTGCGTGCAGCCTCTAGGTGGTGCATGACCACGTCCACTCCCGCCTCCGAGCTTTCCCAGGGCTCTAGTACCTCTCCGACGGCGGCGCCCCGCTCCAGCAAAGACAGGACAGGGAGGACGTGGGGGAAGGAGGTGTTGGATATGACGCTGGATTCTGAAGAGGAGGGACATGGTTGGAGTTCAGCTGTGAAATAATCAGGCTCTCAATAAAATAGCTACTAGCAGCTTACCTTTGCCATCATTCATGTTCTTCAAGAACGGTTTGAGTTTCTTCTCATACAAAATAGCGCCCTCTGTATGTCTCTGGCGTAAGGTCACCCATGTCTGCTCCAGGCGTGAAATCTAGAGCAGCAAAGTACAAAAGGTCAAAATCATGCAGGATGTTCAATCTTAATGGTCCTTTTTAAGTGATAGCGGCCGGACTTTTACCTGAGGCATCTCCAGAGCTCGCATCACAGCAGCAAAACCAAACATGTTTCCCAGGTTACTTTTCAATTCTGCTGCCAGCTGGATGGTTTTATGAAGCAGGGCTGCTCTCTCCTCTGTACTTCCTGTACAGCCAAGGAGGTCCACTGCCATCATGATAGACATGGTGTAAAACCTGAGAAAAATTTATTATTTAAAGTGAACATTTTCTTGGAAAACAGCGAAGCCATGGTTAAAACCTTTTGTAGAGTTCTGTTGAACTTTTTCCAGATTGTGCTAAAATAAAATGATGCTATCTATCGGCATGTTATGTGGTAGAATGGCCCAAAGTACCAACTAATTATGAAGTTAAGGGAAAAGATAGATCTGCTCTTAAAAAAAATGAGTGATTAAAAAAGGTAATATTATTTTGCATTTTGCCTCAATTTGATCTGATATATCTGAATAAATTCAGCTACAACTAACACTGAAGAACAGAGTTCAGAAATGAATCTCATAAATCGAGTGACGGAAATATTTTTTAGAAAAATACAGAAAACAAATTTGATGTGAACAAAGAAATGTTTTTGTACCTCTCCAACAAGTCAAGTCTCTGCTGATGTCCATGTGGCAACGTAAGCAACTCCAACCCTGAGGACACTCCCATCATCCTTTGCATCTCTGACGTTACACCTAATATTCTAGCAACCTGAACAATTCAATACAAGAGAAAAAATAATCAGAACATGATTATTTTTTATGAATGCGAGCTGCAATAAGCTTGTTTTGTTCAGTTGAGTGTGCATATTAACTGCATACCTTGCAGTCCGCGAGGGTGATGTGTTTAGCTGCAGTACTGGCATCAACCTCACCCAGCAGTTCTTTTACTCTCTTCAGCACAGACATCTCCAGAGGTTTATTTTCAGCAGGAAGAAGGCAAGACTCATACCTGCGGAGGAAGCGTTTCTGGGTTTTAGCAAATAATGAAGCATGACAGCCCACGAGGGGCAGCGACTGCTGCTGCAAAAAGTAAAGAAAAGGAGGTGACAGAGCTTTGGGCCCTGTGACTCAAACAGGTGATTAGATGTGGATTTATCAAGACATTTGAGTTAACCTGTCAGAACATATCTGTTTTCAGGACCATGGTATGTCAGTTATATAACATTGCTTTTAAACTAATATGACAATATTAAATGTATGTTTTTGTTTGAATATATATATTTATATAGAAACTTCTTACATTATCCTGGAGCATTAATGTGGTAAAATCAAGCACCAGATATTTGTCTTCCTTTACTGAATAAATTAGAAAGTATATAGAAATAAAACAAAGATTTATTAAGTGGGGAAAAAGCAAAGTTAATTGATTTGCTGTTAAGTATATTAATTGGTAAAATTGTCTACTTTGTCTTGTGGAGTTCCTCTGGGATCTGGGTTCAGTTCAGTTCTCTTTTTATTCTATCTCAACCCTTTAGCTAAAATCCTGCTAACTACTCTGTACTCTTGGTAGACACTATAAGTAGGTTGTTTTATAACTATGATCAGATGTAGGAGTTTAGTTAGGAAGCTATGAAGGTTTGCATTTTGGTTATTTTGACAGCTTCTTCCCCTTAAAGTCCCAGATTTGAAGTCAGGATCTGCACTTTTTCTGAGAGTTCACATAGAGACACATTTCCTCTCTCTCTCTCATGTGTTCTTTCCTACAAAACACAAAAATTCTGCTAAATTATTTGGATTTATTCAAATAGATATTGTCAGATCAAATCAGTAATCACCAATAACTTGAAAAGATATTTCAATTTTTTTCTATATGAGGACATATAGGGCTCACTCAGGCACCGTCCACACGAAGTCAAAACGAACACGAAACGCTGATATTTTCCAAATCTTTTCTAAACGTTACTTTCTGTAAAATTTGACAGATCATTGCATTTAAATCTGGGAAAAGGTAAGAACAACGACTAAATGTTACCAGCAGTTGAAAGCAGTGTTTTAATTATCTTTTCCAGATTGACACAGTTTCTGCTTTAAATGTTACATTTCTCTTTATTTCCTGTCATATTTTTTCTGCCTTGTACCACTAATGGTTTCAAATGTCTTTTAAAATCATTGTAATCCTCGTATTACTATGCTTTTTATAAAAATAAGCAATATTAAATGAAAGCACAAGTGTCTTGTCTTATCAGGTATCTAGTAAGAATGCAATTTATACCAAACAGAATGCTAGGAAACGGTTTGTAAAAACAAAACAGGAATTCTACTTTTTTTCTTCTAATGCTAATAAGTTAAGCAAACATTTGGTTTGACTATTAAACTGTTAACTGAAGTATTATTAGTTTACCTTTGTGGTTCAACTGCTCTATTTTTAGTTTTTTACAACCTGCTTATAATTTGTTTTAATATTTATTTTCTTTTAATCTGCTTTTACTAATCTTTTATTTTCTTTTTTTAATTCAGGTAAAGCATTTTGAATAGCCTTTGTACTGAATTGTGTTGTACAAATAAACCTGCCTTGCCTAACAAAATCCAGGTGTTGCTCCCTGCCTTATTTATCCTTTACCTTTTCAATAAATTCATGATATGCAGTCTGATAAATGATTAAAGCTAAAGAAACTATGTGACTCACTTGGCTGTGGATTCACTCGAGCTGTTAATCAGGGGTTATTACACCTAATCTAAGAAATCTTTATTTATTGCTAGATTGTTTTTGCAGTAAATATATTATATCTGTTAATCCCACATTTCCTACTGGATTTACCTGGATGGCCTGAATAAGGAGGTTGACTCCACCACTGGGGGACTGAAAGTCCTCTCTCCTTCCTCTCTGGCTTCTCCTTTCCCTCCTTCTTCCACTCGCAATCGCTCCACATAGCTCTTAGCTGGGGGTTTGGGTGGCCCAGAGGGGCAGGGTCTGAGGTCACAGTAACTCCCTGCCGTCTCAGAGGAGTGCGATTGGTAGGCAGCATGATGAGCAGGTGAGGAGTGTGCGGAGTGACAGGTTTGTGTGGGAAATTCTGCAGGAGCACTACCATCTGAGGGGCTGAGCTGAGGGTCGCTGGAACGGCGTATCACGGGGGAGGGAGGTACGACAGCCAGGACCCGTCCGCCTGAATGGGCTCTCTGCCTGGTGACTGGATAAAAAGAGAGATGAGCCTTCAGCTTGCTGCAGAAAGAGTCTGTGTGATGGCAATGTATTATTTATGTGTTTGAGTCTGTCACTTACTAGCACTGTATGCTGGAGACAGCGGGGTTTCCCCAACAGGCGACAAGGGGCAGCGGTACTCCTGAATCTGGTCCATACTCATTGCACAATTGCGCATTGCGTCTTTATGATGGTGGATGGTTGATGGGCTGAAAAAAATCATTTTAAACCTTGGTTTAGATGACAAGAATAGTTTTAATCAGAATGGAAAAAAACGTAAATCTTACAGGGTGAGAGAAGAGGGTTTTTATTTTAGTTAGTGAGACTCATGACAAATAGCATTTCTGCTATTTAAGAACTACAACAAAGCAGGAGCAGGCAATTTAACATTTAACTTTTTATTAGTATTTTTTTTTTTACAAATATTTTTAAAAAGTCTGGTTTGCACTTAATTTCTGCCCCTTTTACTCTGCAAGACCAAATAAATTGAGTAAAAACAGATGCACTAACAGTAGTCAGCATTAACTGACAGACTGGGCAACAATAACATTCACCAAAGAAGCAGCCAAGAGGCCCATTGTGACTCTGGAGGATCTGCGGAAATCCCCAGCTCAGGTAAGAGAATTGATGTAAAAGTTTTTTTTAAATAGAAAGAAAGATTTTAGTCATTATATAATGCATGCAGCATGTAGATGTTTGCATAGAAAAGTGGTTTTAGAGGGGCTTTAAAACAAATGCACACCACACTTTTCCCATTGCAATTGGTAATCGAAAACTTATTGTTTTTCTTCCAACTCATAAGTGTGTTCTGCTTAATTTTGTCTACCTGAAATCCATATAAATTACATTGAAATGTCTGGTTGCTATGTGACAAAGCCTGAAATATTAAAAACATTGAATACTGTTGCACATTTTTTATTATGCCTATAAATGTGTCTGCTCCTTTCTAGTAGAGTCATCAATAAAAAAGAGTAGGAGTGAGTGTGGGACTGAACAGCTGTCATCACAAAGGGAGGTGCTACAGGTCTCTGTGAAGTGAGGGGGTGGTAGGAGGGTGGAAAGGCCGTGCACTATCATAGTGCAAAAGATTATCACTGTTGTCACAAACATAAACACAACCTGCAATCGGACAAAGGCTCCGGCTCTGGTTCTGGTGGTGCTGCTGGTGTCTCAACAGGACTGGGGCTGTCTGAGTCACTGATTATGTATACAACATAAAAAATTAATACAAATGTTTTTCACAAAGCTGTGAAAAAGAAAAGAGCTTCCAAAGGACGATCATATCACCACCATCTCACCTGTGAGGCATCATCTTTTCTGTCGTCAGCCCGTCGGTCATGGTGACGCTCCGCCTCTTGATGTACGCACCCCTCTGGCTTGATGGCGAGTAGGCGGAGCCATGCTTGCTGTTGGAGAGGGCGAAGGTTGCCTCCAGGTAGCGCAGAGGTAGAGTCCTACTGACGGGACAGTAGATGTGGGCGCTGCTGGACTGGGAGACCGCTTTGCGTTGGCCAACGTAAAAACGCACAAGCTCCTGAACGGAGTCAAAACTGTCTGACTCCAACATATACTGCACCTGGGGAATATTAGAAAGAGAATTTACATTTCAAACACCTGGAATATTAAAACATGTTAGAAAGTGAGTACAAAAACATATATTTGTAACCCACAAGAACAGTGATGGTAAAAACACAATACAAGGATCAGCAAGCAGGAACAAAGTTGGTTAAATTGAAACAACTACATCATACTGTAGTTGCAGAAATAACATTACCAAAAAGACAAAAATATCAAATGAGCAGAGAAATCTTTTCTTGGCAAAGAAAGTTTTCTCTTCAGTTATTAAGGCAGAATTCGTGTTTACTTGCTGAGATAAAGCAGGAGGAGTTAAATAGGGGAAGTTTTTACAATAGGCTATACCACATGTCTGGTGCAAATGAAATGTTCTCATGATATCACCCATGTTGCAACCATTAGCTCATTGGGCAGAGATCTTATCCAAGCAAATGGGTTATTAATATTAACTCATGTTAATATTAATAATATATACTCATGTTGATCTTTAGACACAAAGCTAGACAAACTAAGACACTTCTTGGTCCAGATGTTTTATGTGTTTTGGAAGAGTTTTTTTCATCTGTTTTCTACACAGAAATATAAAGAAAGGTTCTCAAATTCTTTTACAAACATTTCTAATCAGATTTATTTATACTGAATGCACACAATAATAAAAAAGATTACTTTAATTGACTGATCAGGGTACTGGAAATTTTATTTCTAAAGAATTTAGTGTTCATTTTTTCAGTAATGCTTTAGTTGGTCATTTTGAATCACATGTTAATATCATATTCTCACTGTCTATTTAAAAACTTTTCCACTGATAAATTGTATTTTAAAATGGGGAAAAAAAAGAATAAGGAAGATTAAATTCGTTTTTCACAGTTATTAAAAAAAACAACTAAGAATTTCAAAATAAATGCTCAAAACATCTCATCTTTTGTTTGAGATGTCCATTCATGTCCTTTTTTTATCCCAAGGTTTTGGAGCAGGATTTCCATAACCTTCTATCAGTTAAACCCAGTTTTAATTTAAACTCAACTCCAGATGTGAATAAGTTTTAAAAACGATCTTAATCACTTATCAAGCGAGATAAATAGACTTTTTGAACCTGAAGTAGAGTCTCTCTGTACGCCACTTGAAAGTTTTTACAACTTTGTTATCAAATGTCCGGGCTTATTGTAACTGTCACAGTCTTGGTTCTGTTATGTTTTTCTTTTAAGTATTCAGTTTTACTTTGCCCCATGTTTATAGTTTTAGTGGTGTGTATGGATTTTCAAGATGCTACTGTAAATCAAGTGAAAAAGAAGGGACTGAGTTATTTTAAACTACTGAATGTTTTCCAGAAAAAGCTTGGTGAAAATGTGTGCATTATTTGTGATTCCCAGGTAAATCTTATGGATTAGTCCATCAGTTTTGTTTCAGGAATTAATTTCATTCTTCTTTCAGTTTAGATAATGTGATAAATGGATGGCACTAAGCATCAATTGTAACAGAAATGAGATCAGAGATATATATAGTGAAGGGTTTTGATTTTCCGATTGTGAGTTTTGTCAGGATAATTAGGATTTCTGAATGTAGAGCTAATTCATACTTTACATACATTTTTAAATGCAAAACAGTCACTTAATAACATATCTGGATAAAGTTTTAGTAAAAAAAAAAAAAACACCTGAAAAGTGATTTTGTATCTGTTTAACCACACATTTTAAATACTGAATAGGTTTTTTAAGCATCTGCTACAGGTATGTTGCACAGAGATGCCTCTTAAACCTGAAGGATATTGGCTCTAAGTGAGCTAGAGCCTGAGACCCCCTCTATCTCTGAGATGTTTACGTACCTTAGTCTCATTGGATTTCACCAGAACTTTGCTGATCTTATAGTGGAGAACCTCATTGTCCCACCGACAGGTCAGAACATAATCACCAACATTGGTCAGAGAATCTCGCACAAGGAAATCCCCGTTTCGCAAAACCAGAGACTCGGACACCTAGATAGGAGAAAAAGAGAAATTTTAAGTTGCATAACGGTGCTTTAAACAGATTAGAGATAAATTTTGGCTCTATCAGTAGTGCATTGTGTGTTTGTGTCACAATTTGAAAGATAAAAAAAATGAACAAAGAAATCTGTGATTGTTTGAAACAGTTTCTCTAAGATTTGTGTTGCCAACTAGATAGATAGATAGATAGATAGATAGATAGCATTTATTGTCACTGAACAGAATTCAACGAAATTTCCATTGCAGCTCCCATTGCAGCTCCCGTGCAAACTAACTAACTAACTAACTAAACATGTATCACACTGTTTAGCTAATTTAAGTTAAGTTCTTCAATACAAATAAAGAGGAACTAAAGAAACAACTGCTCTATTAATGAACAAGCTAACAGCATCAGGCTGCACATATCACTGTTAACTAGAATCACACTTGTGTTTCTATTTTTAAAGGAGCTTTGGAGAAGAAATCCCAAATATTTGTAAAATAGTGGGTGTAGAAAAACAGAAAGTAAAATCAGCCTGAGCAGTATGTTTATAAAACAACCCCATAGGGAGACGGCTTTTGAAAGAAGCAAAAGGGGTTGAATTCTTTAAACAATCAATGAAATATGCAGCGCTACAAAGCCAAAAAGAAGAAAGTGTCACAGACCAGCAGGAGGCAGCACATACACAGATCAAAGGCTTAAAATTCATGCACAGCCTTTTATCTCCCCCACAGTTGAATATCTTTCTACTAAAGGGACTATGTTTGTTTTTTAATTCTTTATACCTAAATGAATAGCTTAAGGGAAATAACAAAAAGACAAATTATGGAAGAGAAGATTTGCAGCTTCTTCAGAAATGAGGCAATTCAATAATATAAAAATGACTAAAGAATATCAAGGTATATAATTAGTGAGGAAGGATTGGATTTAACTGAAGGATTTGTGTAAAATGATGCCACTAAACACTGTTTTGGTAACCTGGCCTGGGGTTTCCCCCCCAAAGTTCAAAATGTGGCAAAGCCATGAATATTTGAATATTTTATGTAAATGAAATGAGGGAAGACATGCAGATGGTAGATTCAAATCTGGAAGGGAGGCACATGCGGATCAAGAGCGACGATATAAGAAGCCACATGTGCATCCAGGCTGTTTGTTTGTGTCTTTGTCACCAGCTGGGAAACTCAACTGCGTACATCAGCAGCATACGCAGCTGTCTGTTTGGCAGAGTCTCCCTCCTTCTGAACGCTAAAGCAATTGCTGCCGAGCTGTGACAGATGATGGGATTCATTAATCAGTGTCGTTCAGTGAGTAAACTGCCTAAACTGCGCTTTCAAAGCCAGAGATGTTGTCGGAGTAATCACTCCGCTAATACTAAGGGATTATAAGCACAAGAGTATCTTAATGAATTCTGTATTACATTTGCTCGATTTATGAGCACTGATCCCCTCAAAAGTTGCTGATTTATTTGACCTGGATTTAATTTTGTGAAGCCAGAATGGAGAAATGGTGAGATATCTAAAACTATTTCATTTGTGTACTTTGTGTTGGTCTCTTTGAAAACTAAAAAGTATAAAAAGTTTTTTAATAAAGAAACTTTTTAGAAAAATAAAACATTAAACCTTAAACTTCCCAGATACCATCAGTTAGTCTCTACTCATATGCCTTAAGATATCTGATAATAACTTATATATGTATATAAATTTAAACAGAACTTGATATTTTTTTCGCCAGACTAATGACAAAAGTTCATAAAGGCAAATTTGATCTTTTTCTGCCATATCTAGGAGATCGCAAACTCACTACAAATATTTTCTTGAGTAATAACTAACTAAAAAAGATGTAATAAGCATTTTTCAGCTGTTCAAAATAAGTATAACGAATTGCGGAAGGTATTACGATCTGTTTAAAAGATAAAGTGCTCCATTAAGGGCTGCTATTCTTAAGCAGTGTGCAAAACTTCAGCAGATGACGGGAAGAGGGGAAGTTCTGCAGAAATATTGCTCCTTTTCTGCTGTTGTAAGGATCCAGTTCTATTAGTCAGGAAACAGGCTAAATGTGGACATTTTTTGCAGGCTTTTGAAAGCTCAGCATTAAGATAAAGGTCCCTATTTTCAAGGAAATAAACAGACAGAATGCTGTCAGCAGTAAGCAAAGCCCAGTTTGTTCATTGAAGGAACAAGAGTATGAGACGCCAGCCTAACAGGTCAACTGGTTGATAACTTAAAATGTCAACATTGTGTTTTGTTTTCTAAATTTGTTGTTACAGCAAGTCTCTCTGTGAAGCATCATCTCTGCTTCCAATACAAATAAGAGGATTTGCTAATGGCAAAATAAAGTAACATTTGGTGAAAAGAAAAAATAGCATTACAGATAAAAGCATAGACAAAATGTTAACATGTTGTTTTTAGGTACCATTGATTTATACTCTATTTCACTATTTCTAACGTTTTAGCATCTAGATGCACATAAAATGCAATAGTAAAAGAATCCATGAAAAAAACTGATGTGTGCAATTATTAACAAAATTGTATGCCAACAGCCACACAGACACATTTTATTTCTTTGCTGAACTTCACAAATGGTTTCAGATGGTGTAAAAACATTTATCAACATCCTGTTTTATTCTGACCTCCTACAAACAGCCTAATATAAACATATTGTTGGGTAAAAGTGGACGAACTGTAAAATTCAGCTTCCACACTAATCATTCATTAGCAATAATGATTGTATATAGTAATCTTTAATTATTTTTTTCTTTTTGAAACCAATGACACCAATCTGCATCCAATGTCTAATTGATATTCCTCACTATCTGTCAGATCCCTTCACAGTCATCTTGTGCAACTGGAGATTTTTAATACTTACATAATAATAATAAAAATAAGGAAAAGGTGGTGCACAGAACACAAAAATGATAGAAGAGTTTGTTTTGTTTTAAATTCACAACTTCATGCTTACAAGAACACCAAAAATAACAACTACATTCTGGATAAGACGTCATTTTTAGCTAAAAATCTGGTAAAAAAAAAAAAAAAATACACCATCTATTGGATTGGACTTGCAACTAGTATGATTAGAAAGATACTGTTATAAAACAAAAGGAGATTATGAGTGTAAATATATCAACATGGTTCAAACGGCTGCACACAAAGCAACACAGAAAGTATTTTCAAGCTTTAATCTGGATCTAATAGGGATTTTATGATAATGAATAATGTAAACCCACACATCATGTGAAAAAAAAACAAAAAAACAAACAAACTTGTGGCCAGATCCAGAGCGAGGCAAAATCAGCAGCCTGTTTCAGTAAGAGAGTGTTTGCTCTACATCATTTATGGAAATCATGTCCCTGTTGTCCCATTTGAGGTACTGCACCACATGGAAGTGAATCATAGGGAGCTGATAGATAACAATTATCGCCTTGCAAGGTTCTTTCAGAATCCTATAAAAGCAAGAGATGCTTACTAAAACCTCCAGCATTCTCCATTTGTTTATAAACCACTGAACAAGCATTTCTAATAAATAATAACGAGGACCTCGTGCAAGGACTGTATTTTCTAATACGAATAGCGATGCCTGGAGTTGATGACTGCAAGCAAAGTGGAGAAAATACCAGGTAAGAAGAATCTACTCTCTCCAGCTTTTAACTGCAAACTTATTTAAAAGTTAGTGAGGAAGCTTCCCTAAAGTAGTTAGGATATAGACAATTAAAGTCAAATAAAATTCACTCCAATCAAAGACAAATCCAACTAATGAAATCCCAGATTTTATTGAAACTGTTGACAAGGAACTGCTAAAGAGCCACCAAACACCTCAAAGGCTACCTAGTACTGTTGTTTCTGTTTTTCTGTGTTGAAAGTTTAAAAAAGGGTACAAATATGATAGCAATGTTGTATTTTTAGCATTAGTTTGATCACTTTTTACAAGAACAATGACTTTGTAAGAGCCATACTGTATGATGGTTTGTTTGTGTTAAATAACAAAGTAGAAATACAGTTATCTCTACTTTATACTTACATTTAAAAAATAGACTCATTAAATCTGTTCCATTTAATCTCATTTGATGTCATTTTTATTATGTCTGTTGGTATTTAAAAGAAAAATAAAAACCATCAAAATAATTTGGTTCATCCAGACAATTAATTTCTTTGTGGTTGGATTCATCACTTCACAAACTTGCTATTCTCCATAAACCAAAATAAATAGTTTTTCAAGATTTGTCAAAGTAAAATTTGACACTATTACAATTAGTTATAAAACTAAGAAAATTAAGAAAGTTTTAATGCTACTTCAATGGGTAGTGCAGTAACCAGTATAAGGTTTAAAGCTCTCCTTAAAACTTTTTCCTGCATTACATTTAATTTTTTAGTAGTAGTTTTAAAAATTGTACTTTTACACTTTTACTTGAGTAAAACGCCTAAGCTGATACTCTAACTTCTACAAAAATGTTTTAAAACATGAATACTTTTGACACTTCTGGTTTATGGTTGGGTTATTTTAGTTTTTTCAGACAAAAAGCACACACCTTTCTGAACACAGGAATAGATTTGTGAATCAGAAGACACCTTGTCATTTTCATAAACACTATTATAAATGTAGAATATGGAATTAAGAACTTTTGCACAGCAGTTTTAAAGTCTTTACTTAACTCCTTGTCCACTTAACCTCGAATAAAGAACCAGAAAGACTCATACCTCTCTGGGTATGTGTCCATGGTACCAGCCATGGCTCCTGATGTCAGAGGGGCTCAGTTTCAACTCCTCTTCCAGTTCTTTACGAAGCTTCTCAGGGGGAGACTCCAAAAGGTATTTCTCCTTTGAGAACTGCAACAAATAAGAAATATAGAAAAATTATCCATTAATACAGGTTTAACTGTTCTGAGAACAACACCTATATCATACAAATATTTAAGTTACGAAACTAAAGTAAACCTTTCTACAGGACCTTGTGAATGTTGAGGAGATAAACAGTAATTTGTAAAAGATGTATGCATAAACGGGATTAGAAAAGCTGAAAAGTAATGTTCAGAAATGGAAGATAAATGTATACTTCATTATTTATAAGGAGTAATGCATCTATGATATGCATATAAACAAATAAATAAGAAGGTAGCACTGCAGGGAAGCATCACAATGTAAAGTAGCAGCTCAGACCCATATACACATTCATTCATCGTGCTGCAAGATGACCGGAAAAACAGCAATGCTGCTTTGTCTTATCCTTCAAAACATTCAACTTCTGGCCAATATGGAAAAGTCAGGGTTTGCAAATATTTTCAGCATTTATCTAATCTCAGATTTAAGGTAATAGATAGCCATTTTAGTACTACAGAATGTATTAACCAGTAAAATAAGATTATTTAGATGCTTTAAAATTCAAACATTTTAAAATAACAGAAAAACCCTGTTTAACAGCAAATGCTCAAACAACAGCAGGATGTTACTTATTTCTATAATATAAATGTGACCGTTCAGAGCAGCAAAAAACCAGACTAAAATTTGTTGAATAATGCAGTTATATATATTTTTGTAATTTTGTAAAATCTGCTTTTGCCGATCAAAGCTTAACAAAACCTGGAGCTGAGACACAGAGAGCAAATACACAGCGTATCTAATTTATGCTTAAAAAATTACAACCTGAAGGAAAAAAGTATGAAAAAAAAAACCATAAAAACTCCCTTCAGCTATAAAAGTCGGAATTAGAAACAAGTTCGACTCATTAGGGGATATTTTTCTTTCTTTGTGACCTGTGTGGTTAAAGGCTTAGGAGGTAGGGCAGGTTTTGCACTAATTGAATGGTCATTAGTTTGATCTGCAGCTTCTTCCTTCCACATGTCAAAGTGTCCCTAGGATGAGCCTCAATTAAACGCAACAAACTTGATGGTGTAAATGGCAGAAAAGGCTTTTTGCATGCACAACAAAGGCTCTGTGTGTTAACGCCTCTCTGATCAATAAGAAAGGTCTAAATCCAGCTTTTTTATATAAATGTTTTGCAGAATACTTTTAAATTATATGGATTTATATGGATATACATATAATCCATAATTAATTACCTTATCTTCAATTTTCAATAAATCCTTTTTAATTCCTTCCAGGTCACCTGATCTGATCAACAGCTATTTGCATGAAGACAAAATGGAACTCCTTAAATGAGACTCTGCAGCGACTTATTACTGTAAAAAAATTAAGTTCAGACAAGCAACCTAACATCTTAATCCATAAGGCACAAACAGTATTTTGACATGCACACAAACTTTGACACAAATCTGCACAAAAATAAAAATCCACAAAGGAATAGAGAGCGAAGACAAATCTTTCTGACTGCCAGTATGAGGAAAGAGACTCGCAGCCAGAATAAACAGTAAACAACTCTGTCACTAAGGCTGGTCTCTGTTTCTTTTTTCTAATAATTACCCTGATTCGGTTGCTCTTTTTATACAGGAAAGAGATATTCATTGTCTAACCATCAAGTATCCACAAACATCCCCACTTCCACTTTCTTAATAAAGTTCTGGCAGGAATGTTGTCGGAGTTTTAAGGGACAATGACTGAAGATGGGAAGCTGTAATGACCCTTTTATGTACAGCGTGTTTTGCTCCTTGCTGCACAAGCATCCGCATGTGATACGAGAGCCAAACACAAAATCTTATCTTCTTCAGGTCCCTGTGAGGTGAAATTATTAACTTCCCTCTCTCCTTTCCCCCCTCTTCTATCCTTTAATCCTCAGGGGAGGATGGAGGAATATCACCACGGAGGCTAGGTCTCCCAGATTAGATTGAAGGTGTGTGTAAGTGGGTCTGTGTGAAGGTGAGAGCAGGCCAATAAAAAGCAAAGGGGTCAAGTGTGCAGTTATTGCTTTTCCCTATCTCTGTGGAAACACAAGAGGACCCTGCAATGGAACTGATGCTCCACAGTGGAGTCAAGGTCTGTGTATGTGTGAGTGTATGCGTGTGTGTACATACATATCTATATGTGAAGGGTTATGAGGAAAATTGAACTGTCAACATGGCTCTATTTATGACAGGTTTCATGAAATAGGAAGACATTATGAGAAACTTTAATGGTGTCCAACAAACAATATAGGTATTAGAAAGTGAGTTAAAAAAAGACAATGCGTCTCTGTATTCTGATATATGAAGACAACAAAACTGACTCTAAATTCCGATGAAAAAAAAAAAAATCCTGTATCCTGTTCTGTCAACACCTATAAGGTGTTGTTTCTGCAACAGTAGGCTGTTACCCAAGTGTATATCAAACAAAACCTGAGTGCTTTTCTTCACAACCTTTGAAATCCCATGTGCCATAAGACCGTCTGGAGGAAAAAAAGCATTGGTTATGGAGCTTAAAGGATAACCAGTTTGTTTATGCTACAACATCCTGAAAATAAGAAATGTGTTGTGTAATTATGTGGGATGGAAAAACAAATAAAGAATTTAATAAAATAACATTGTTTTGTGAGGCAATTCTTGACTTATTTATGACTGCCACACATAGAACTCCTCCAAGATAAATGAATAAATAATATTCTGCTCCTATGAAAGTTTCTGTTATTCTAGTGAAAAATACAAAGGTCAACCTTAAAGGTATAGTCACAACTTCAGTCTCACAGAAAATATGTGGAGAGAGCTAAATATTACCCAGATAGCAGGGAAGGCTTCTGCTTTTGACATGGAAATCATCAATAGCAACTACTAATCAAATATTCATTCTAAACTGGATTTGGATTCTGTATGCGAATAAATACTTTTCCATTAATTATTGAAAATATATAGATAATTGCAACATGCCACCATTAAATAGAAGATAAACAAGAATAAAAACTGATCCTTTTTGTTTTTATGATTCCTCTTAGATGCCTGCAACATTTTGAAAGAAACATTTTCGCACATTGAAAGTTGAATCTAAACCGGCTTGGAGTGTGAATAATCTTAAGATTAAATGTAAGATAAAGAGAAATAAGTTACGATTGATTTGCATTTCGGTTAGTCTAGTCTAGCAAAAACAGTACGTCTGTCTTTTTTCTTCTTTTTCAAATCTTTTTCAAATTGCATTCAATTTAGGAATGACATCAGAGTTCTGATCTCCCAGACAAATTAGATCTAAAGTATGAGAAAAAAGAAGTGATGGAAAGCAGGAAGAGTTCTGAAATGATGTGAAAGAGAATAAAACATTGCTCTCAGAAGGATATATTACCCGATGGCAAAAGGGAAACAATGAGAATAAGTAGAATGGGAGGCAGTGACAATGACTAATGTGATGTTATTATAGCAACTACAGAGACCGAGAGGATACCCTTTACTATCCTGACTGCTTAGTTTCAATTCCATTTGGTGGGAGTTTTTGTTTGCTTTTCTGGTTTAACAAATAAATCTACCACTTCCATGTTTTGTCTTGTTTTTTTGTATTTTCTAAACTATACTTTTAGTGTGTGGCCATTTAGGACTACAGGCACAAAGAATTGGCAGATAACTTTTTCTAAATAGAGAGAATAACTAGTTTTTGTGGCATATATTAGCAAAGCTAAGAAACTTAAGGAAGGTAAAATTTCAAACATTTCAAATATGCATATTTCCGAACCAAATTTATTTAGGAAGGTGAAAGGGCAACTTTTGACCTCTTTTAACAACCAACAACTTCAAGTATTTTTTAAACACTTTTCTCATAGAAATGAAAAACCATTAAAAGATTACCAACACTCAAGAAGTCAACTCTATGATAACTCACTGGATTACAGACACATTCAGAGAAACAGGGTGTAATAAAACAAATTAGAAAACAATGCGAAAGGATCTTTGGAATGGATGTCACATTAAGAAAATGAAATGCATGGAGTTTATCTGTAACTCTTCAGACTCAAGAAGTCACTTCGAGAAGAGTATAAACATCTTAACAAAGAAGAATCGTTTCAAAAAAACGTACTTAAATTCTGTCAAATTTTCTACCTGGATCATTGAGATGCAGCAGGACATATTCAGAAACGCTTCAATGGTCAACATTATGTTACTTTTTGATATTTAAGTTTTTATAGTTGTATTTAAGAGTTTACTTTTTAAAAGTTTTTTTCTTTCCTAATCTAATACTGATTGGTCCGATATGAGCCCAAAAAACTAATATCAGATTATATCCTTCTAATCTCTGTTATAAGCATACTAATAGAAGTATTCAGCTAATATTGTTGAGTCCACTGCAGCTTTTCTTTCTTAAAGCATTTTTGTTGCACAAAGAGCCAACATGATCACAGTAACTGCTCTGCTAACAGAGAAGCAGACACTGTATGCTGAGTGCAAAACTTGTCAGTATAGGAGAAGCATAAATATGAAAGTTTTCTGTCTTCAAATGTATTGTCAGTTCAGTAGTTGAATGTTTTTTTATGTTCAAGTTTATGTAACTTACTGGTTAGTAGTAAATGGGCAAGTTGCTTTCATACTTGTTGTTATTGGCTATTGTTTCTGCTTGTGTGTTTTCACTTGATGAAGCCTTTTTAAACATTCCTCACTATAAAAAAGTTACAGCATGCATTATGTATGTTGATTTCGTATCAGATTAACATTGGTATTGATCATTCCTGAAAGCTGCAATATGGGTATGGGATTGGAAAAGAAAAACTAGTATTGAGACATCCCTAATCAACTGTAACCAATGAAAATGGCTTTTATTTCATACAAGTGTGGATTAGGTGACAAAACAGCCATAAATGGGCAGTAAGGAGAATCCTAGTTATAGCAGGGAAATGTTTAAATAAAAAAATAAAAACAATCTTGTTTTGAATGGGTTGTCGATGTGAGCACAGGGCAGGAGAGCAGACATGAAAGGTGGGAACATGC